ATCAATTTCTCCTGCAGTTTATTACACACAAGCGAAGCAGAGCTTCGCAGCACTTGCGATAGATTAAAATTTCATAATCACAGCTTGCATAACGAAAGCAATTCCGGGAAACAAAAACCATTGGTTACGAATGAGATCATGCGTTCCGACAGGTGGTGAAGCCAACAAAATAAAACTAGTACCTAAAAAACGACACGAATGAAAATCAGCATGAAAAATTTGATAACAGACTTTTATACCAACCAAGGAAACTCAAAACACCAACGCAATTTGTGACTTTGAATAATGATTCAAAAAGCAAAAAGGAAAAGGAGATTTTTGTCCTTTTCAAGTACCGTTATCACAAAAACAAGGTGCTCGGTTGTGAATTATTTTCAATCACCGCGCTTCTGGGCAAAATTCAAAGCCATGCTGATATGTTTAAAAAAGAGAAACCAGAAATCAATTATAAAAACAGCAAAAACGTTTTCAAATTTTTCAACAACATTTTGACCACAAAGCCAAAAGTGAGCTAAAATTAGCCTATAGGAACAAAAGAGTAAAACAAAAATTGGTTACGAAGATATAAGAAAAAATTTTCACCCTCCCGATCTTAGCTGTTGCAAATGCAAACACTGGAATGAATTGGATCCAAAGTCAATTAAAAAAAATTGGAAATTCCCTCTTAAAGTACAAAACCAACGTAATGATAATGATTGCTTAACCGACAGATGATTTTTTTTAACACATCAGTTAAGAATAACAATTTACAAAAACCTGAAACAAACCTTTTTTTTAATAAAAATTCAATCAGTCTGTTTAGATGTGGGACACCTGAGATTAATCAGAAGCAGTATTCTTTTGAATAGAGGGTGAAAAAATTGTTTTCAAATTGAACCGACCAAAATTGATCCAAAAAAATTCCAGTTATTACTTTGACAACGATATGAGAATAGTTTAATTTCTAAGTTACATTATTCAAACCGAATTAAAAGAAATTAAATTTTTCGCTCATCTGCATCTACGTCGGCCGGCATCTAAGCCGATGTTAAATAAGACGAAAGCGAAGTCTATTAGTTAGCGCTAAAGAAGCTAGAGCAAAAACCTAGGCCGAAAAAATTCTCAATAATTTTCAAAGGGATTTTAAAAATTTTTACACGTTTTTGACTAGCCATAAGGGAGTGGAAAAAAATTCAAAGGAAAATTTTTTTGCAAAATAAAATTTTTCTATATTTTTTTGGGATACGAAAGGAAATTTTTTTTGCAAAATAATATTTTTCTATATTTTTTTTGGGATGCGAATAATTAAAAGGGCTTCCAAATAAAACCATACTCAATTGTCCGCTACCTGTACTAATTTAAAATGTTAGATAAACCGACCACGGCCGTAGATTTCTACACTACTTGGAAAGATCGAATAAACACTTAATTTTAATAAGAACTTGTACAAAAAAGTATTAAAATATTTGTCCAGCACACTATAAGCAAGTGTAGTTCAAAAGAATTTTGAAAGCCCAAAATCTAGAGAGATAATTTGTATTGCAGCACAATAAGTTTTCCAGAACACTTAAGACTTTATCTTCAAATTCAGTCTCTCGAGAGAAACGAGTCAACAGACAAATGAGTCAACAATCAAGAGTCAATGAACGCAAGGAAACAGAAAAAACTTACTTATTTTTTGAAAAATCTTTTTATTTTTTGAAAAAAATTCAATTATCGAGCCAAAAACCAATTGCGCTGAAACCCTTTGAATTATAAAAAAGTTTTGAACACTTTCTAGGTCAAATTAAATCAATTTGAGAAAACTGGATCAAAAGGGGAAGTTTTTATTCTGCTGGCAAATCTGAAAAAGAAATCAACTTTCTAAATAAGAAGATCATCACGATCTTTGTGATTTTAACACTTTTCATGGTCGATGGATGAATTTGCTCTCCCTTTAACAAAGGAAATCACCTGAATTTAAAAAAAGCTAAAAGTCAAACCGCGAAAAGTCAAGTTTGAGCGAACAAATTTTAGCTCGAGATTGGTTTATAGTAAAGAAAATATCACATCATATCGTACTTCCAATCAAAAGTGGATTTAAATCAAATCGAAACACATCAAACTTCCAAGCTCAAATGTAGAGTCAAAACAGAACCTCTCGCTACTTGCGCTTCAAATAGCGTGCTATAAAAAAGTCGACAAAAAACGAGAGAAGCAGCTAATAGCTAATTCGAAAAAAATGTCAATAAAATGTCAAAAAAGTATCTATCAAAAATTTCCTGTACATTTTGAGTACGTATAACGCGCTGATGCAGCCGATAGAACCTGAGCGGACGCCCAATAAATCGATAAAAAAATTTTGTCCACCTCAAAAAACAAGCATATGAAAAAATTTTGCTCATCAAACGACGCAACATGAGACTACTCGTCAAATACGATGCTGGTCATAATTTCGTTCAGTCGAATAGGTAAGAAACAAAAGAACAAATAAAAATTATGGCAAATGGAAGTAGGTAATTTTACAACCAACATACAACGCGATTTTCGGATGGGAAGGGAAGTTAAAATGCATGTATGTTCCAAATATGTCTGCTCGGGGTCGAAAGTGGAGATTTAAGAAAAATTTCGGTGAACTGGTTAAATAAGTTGTTCACTTGGAAAAACTATGCTCTGTAAGGTTGTTGTTCGTTGTAGGCTGTCTTCTGTGCTGACGGGGGTAAACCCAAAAGAAACCCAATGCTCCCCAAAAAATCTATGACAGCAGTTGTATCTGTCTGAAGGACGTCTAGTTTCGGATCGAAGAAGGCAGAGGCCCGAGAAAGGCCCTAAACATTGACAGGGATGACCACCGCCTTGAAGACTACCTATACGCAATCCCGGTACATCACTTCCACCGCAGAGCAACCGGAGGGCAGCCCATGTCGACAGAATGCAGAAGTAGAGCAGAAGAAGTCACCCTGTACAAACTGAGGCAAAAATGGCGCCCTTTCTACAGCTAGTAATCACAAGCGTTATCATTTTTAAGCTCTTTCGATTTCAGGATTATATCTTGATTGGCAGCCATTTAAAAACAAAATCCCTATCTAAAATAACTTTAAATTTGAAATGAACAGTGATTTATCATGATATTTCCAGTTTTGTAACCGTGAATGGAGCACCAGTTCTATTAAAACATGAATCACACTCAGGAAACCGAAACAAGATTTTGTTTTCTTTCAATCACTCGCTAAGAACACCGAATGACCAACTTTTAGTGCTTCACTACATTAAGTAATGCTCATACCAGATTAATACAATTTAGCAATAATCTATACATCATACTTGGTTGAATAATTTCAGTCATTTCAAAGGAGAACGTGCTAAGAAATTCATACGACAAAATGATCCAACCTTTCAGGCCGCTATTTTTTCCCGCCACCAAAAAAACATCAGCAAAATTTTTTAAAATTGTTTATTTCAATCCCGACGTTTTGTACAGAGGTAAATAGTTTTGTAATGACAAACACGTACGATCCTAAATTTTTTGACTTCATGTTGGGTCTTTACATGCTCGGTTCAAAAAATATCTCTCTGGATTGCATGTTCTGAATCACTGAAAAGATACGTACTATTTTTTTTCTGACTAAAGTTCCTTCAAAATGTTTTTGTATGTTCCGCAAATAATTCTTAATTTATTTCTCACAAAAAATTTGAAAAACGCATTTTAAAAAATCTAGAACACAGCAAAAAGTAAAAGTAGCTCTACAACGGTTAAAAGTGGCAGAAGGAAATAAAGCGGTAAAAAAAGCCTTGGAATTTTTTTTATATCGAACCCGGCTCGGGAGATAAAAGTCTCATGTTTGAGCTATGGTCACTTGTAAATCTACCTTGCCACCAATAAAACATGCTAGTTAGTTGCAAAAAAAATTTTTTTGATGAAACAAAAATGAACCCGCGACCTGGAGACTAGGAAACTGATGTCCCAGCATCTGCGCCATGACCGCTGGTATATCTGCAAACACTCGCCATCAATAAAACAGATACAACATGTTCTACTTAACTACCAGTGTTATGCAGCAAAATTGCCAATAGAAAGCATTGCGTTAGAAACAGTACGCTCGATAGCTCCCGAGTGTAAAAATAATTCAAAAATTTGTCTCGATGTCGAGAAAATCTGGTCTGAAATTTATGCTTCGGTTGAAATTATCGGTTAAAGCAAAATTGAGTTTAAAATCAATGGTTTAGATTTCTATTGAAACTACTAAAGAAAAATTGCTCAAGCTTCACTGTAGAGCTTGAACCCAATCGCAAAAAGTACGCTTAAAAAATTTGCCAAACATTCAATTCTGGTCAACTTGAATTTCATTTCTCGAAGCGAATTGCCAAACAAAATCTAAATTATCTTCCTAATTCTGATCGAGCTGGAAGTAAATGACTTGAAGCAATTGGCAAGAAATTTCCTGCTTGAAAAAAGACCCGAAGGTTTATCGGAAGGGTTCAATCGACAAGCAGAACTCATATCTTTTCGATAGAAAGCAACAAAAATTTAGTTTTTTGATAGAGGTTGTTTTTGATGGCTTGAATATACTGACATAAAATAATTGACGGAAGCTATTGAAGAGATGAGGTTTGATACGTTAGTTTTCAGACGACTTCAATCAGTTGCAAACACTAACGCTAATGTTTTTCTTTTTCATGCGTTTTCAAAATTGAGTTTTGGTAGCGTCAACGAAAGAAAGACTGCAGTTCAAATTTGGTTTGTTTTAGAAAAGACGAAGAACAATTGTTAATAAGAAAGTGACAGGTTATGTCTAGCCATCAGACGACTGAAGTTAAATCGAAATGACTATCTCTGAAGAAGTCCTATCAAATTCTCCGACGAAATCATTTCTATAGAATAGCCGAGATTTCAGAACACTCTTGACTATTCACGCTAATTTATTCGACACTAATTTTGAGAGCATCTTATACAATGCACTCAATGACCACTCAAAAGTAGGCAGTTCGTTATGCAAGAAACGTGCTATTTATATCACATGAAAAGATACTTGGATAAAAAATTATAATTCAAGTCGTTTTTGATGACCAATAATCAATTTATTCAATGAAAAAAATAAATAAGTTTTCAAAACAGTAATATAATTTTTTTCTGATGAAATTCCGTTTCTTTTCCCGCAGACGCTTAAGTTTTTAATTAACTGGATCTAGTGTCTGTATTTATCTTTCATTCTGGGTTTCCTAAGAAACAATTCCATTAATTTTGCATCAGATGTCGCTTTTTTTCTCGTCTAGCGAAGAAATGTCAATTCTCATCGGGTTTCTTCGACAACAACTAGTGTCATAGTGCCTCTAGGTCCACGTGTCTGACATTGGGGTGTTTTTCCCTGAGTTTCTGCTCCAGTCTATCCACCTCCTCCCCCAACTGGTCAACTACTCCTTCCCCGTGACTCAGCAGCAGCTGCTCCAGCCCACGCACATCCTCTATTTGACGCACCTGCACGCAAAACATATTTATTAACATGATGTCTGGAGTCAAACAAGGCAGTTTAAATAGCACGCATTGAATTCTAGCATAACTGCAAGAACACTGCAGTTCGCTTTAGAGATCTCTGGCCTGAAAAATGAAGTCATTATTTTTGAAGCTGAAAACTGGGATTCTTCGCTCTTTAAACTAAAGAAAGTCATCCATGTAGAGGTAGTGTGGCACCTAAAAAGATTCCAGTTCAGATATTCAACTCGCCTCTTGCAGTAGTGATTCGAGGTCGACTTTGTTGGTGAGGTAAGCCTGTGTGAGTTCCCGGCCGTCGAAGTCGGCCTCTGCCTTGAAACGGATGCACCCATTGCCCATGTCTGTGGCCTTGACGTCATGCAGTCCCCTCACAATCCTGTCTCGCTCCAGAATGGCCCTCATCTGCTGCATCTGTTCAGCCGGCACTGACTGTCCTAAACACATCAGTGTCATTTTCAGATATTCACTCAATCGTAAACAAGCTGCTCTTTTCACCATTGATAGATATTTTAGTTAAGTCTAATACCTTTAGTAGATAATAGTTCATTTCAACAATTTTTTCTAACTTAATTCAGTATCAAGCAATGTGTAAGTTTTATCAAACGTTTTTTTTAACTTATATGTTTGTTCAAAAGTTTGAAAGGGAAAAGTTTTGAACGATAAATTGGACAGCAGCACACATTAAATGTATACCCGATTGACTCAGTAAGTTTCTTTTCAATCAACACTATCAATCGAACCATTCAAATTTTTTCTTACTAATTCAAAGCGCAAAAACAAAAAGGCAATTAATATGACATGACGTTACGTAAGACAATTCAGAGCAAACGACAAAATTAAACTGGATGGCAAAAAATTTCAAATTCAAATTTTATGTCCTTGTCATTACTGCCCTAAAAGCCAGAAGTGAAATAACGAAAAAAGAAAAGCCTTGAGAAACTTTTGCCATGGGCCGGAATCGCACCTCTAACCCACAAAATAGCAGTCTCACCTTTTCGCAACTGCGCCACGATAGCTTGAAAATTTACCAAACCTAGCTAGCAATAAAGCGGCTACAGTTTCTATTACATTGCCAAGGCTATTCCCCAAATATCCCCAAATATAATTGAAAACTAATTCAATGTGCCAAAATTAAACATCCGATCTCTGGATTAGGAGTCTCAAGCCTTCACAACAGTGCCATGACAGCTTGAAAAAAATAGGGATCCAGCTAAAGCTGGAGGTAACCTTTTGACAAACTTCAAGAAAATGTGCAGATGCGAAAGGTAATGCGTAACTTTTCAAAATGTATCAGAAATTCCATATCTAATTCCCCCATCAAAAGTACGGAGAAAGCGCTTTTCAGGGGAGATCAATAGAACATCTCAAATCGACTTATTTCCTAATTTCAGAATTGGCACGGTCGTTTTTGAGAAATTGAACAAAGTCCAAAAAATGGGCCTATAGATCAAGTAATCCCATAGTCCATAGCGGATTCCTCGCCAAAATCGGCAAATTTTGCACTAGTTTTCCGAAACATCAAAATAAATTCCAAAAACTCTACTTTGTTAAGTCTAATATTGCTTTAAAATTAGGGCAAGCCACAATGCAAAGAAAATTTCTAGCACATAATACATCGATTGAACACGCGATCTTACATTTGGCTGAGTAATTTTCAATAAAAATTAAAAAATGTTTCCAAAAAACATCAAAAATTGGCTATTTCAATTGACCATGAATTTCTTTAAAAAATTCTAAGAAATTGATCAAAATGTCAAATATTGGACATTTCCTAAGTCAATAGCTAACTTACAAAAATTGGGAGAACACGATTATGCTGGAGATAACCCATCAACTTAGTTTCCATTTGAATTCCTAATCTCCGATTTGGCACCGTAGTTTTCGAGTAAACCAAAGTTTCCAAAAACAAACAAAACTTCAAAAAATGCACTTTTGTTCTTGAGATTGAAATCTTGATCTCAGATTTATGGCAGGGTAGCTTTCGAAAAAACGGAAAAAAGTCACAAGCAAAGGTCAAAATTTGGTCATTGTCTGCGGCCATAACTCTGTATCTACATAACAAGGGCGTAGAAGCTTATGCAAGGGAGATCCCAATCCCAAAATGTTTTAATTAGATTGAATTCTCAATCTCAGATTTGGCACTGTAACTGTTCAGAAAATTAAAAAAATCCATATAAAGGATCATAAATTCCCCACACTGAAATTTGGGAAGACTGTCGGGTAAGGTAAAAAAAGTCTAGCAAAATATGCGGTACACAGGAAGTAACCGGTCTTTGCATCCTTTTTTTCACCACTTTTGGGAAAATAAAGGAGCTACCGCCAAAGTAGCACCAATAATTGCGACTTAGTTTGGAAAAAGTGACCTTGTAGTATCACACTCCGATTCACTTGTGTGAACAAAAAATAGACGGTTTAGTTTTATTGGAATGAATGGTAATTGCCTAGAAGCATGCTGGCGTTAGTGGATATGATGTAGCCAGACACTAAGGCAAGGAGGGATCCGACTGCAAGGGATCCCATGGCGTCCCAGAGGGTAGACCCAGTGACGAGGGTGAGGGTAGTGGACAATCCTGCCAGCCCGATGCCCACCACTGCTGCCACATCCTCACAGAAGATCACATTCACCGCCGGGTCATTGCTCCTAACCATAATCACACCACTTAATTCCAGTTTCAAGGATCTAATGAAATACATTATCCAGGTCCACTGGAACACCCGGACTTTTGATTTATGCTTATTTCATTTTGAAAATCACGATAACCTCGGATACTTTCATGGGTTAGACAAAATATACTTTCGGATAACACTAATTTTCGGAATATGAAGTTGTTCATTCGGTATTTTGCTTGTAAAAATTTGTTAAGAACTTTTTCACTTGTTCACGTTCTATTGCAGCATGCAACGTCTAAGTCATTCTAGATAAATTTTCTCAAATCGAATGTCAGAAGAATTCAAAGAAAAGTACTAGAAAAAAGCCGGGAAAATAGTTTATCTGGTACTTCTTTCATCAGGGGGCCTTTTGAAAAAACAATCCATTCCTTGCCTGCGGATGTAAGATATAAATGAGAGTCCGGCTGATTTGGCACTTTGGCGCAGGTGCTGGTAGGCGACTGAAAGACTGGTGCTCTCGGTGAAGAGGGCGAAAGCCAGCACAGTGCAGGAAATGCTGAGGTTGCTGATGGGCGCAGGGTGCAGCAGACTACTAAACAGGGACAAAACCATCAATGAAAGCAGAAATAATGGTCACTGATATTTAAATTACTCATTTCTGTACATTGAGTGCATATCAAAAGAAAAAACTAAGGAAAACGAGACATTTGCATCAATTATATTATAAGCCAACTTCCCTTGCCAAAAACATATCAGTTGAGTTTTAGTAGTTTCCGAGCAAAACTTTGCGATATTTTAAGAAAAAACTACAAAAACAGCCTGAAATTGAAATTTATGCCTGATAGTTTTGCCTCGGACTGTTAACGCCAGGCGTCTGCTCTATCATCAATATTTTTATGAGCAAGAAGGAACGAAATGGATATTTGAGCAGAGATTATGCTACCTGATTCCGTGGTAGAAGGAGAGTCCAGAGCCTATGCAGAATACCCCACATCCACTGATGAGTGCTGTGACGTTCTGTAGGTTGCTGTATCCATAGGGGTACTCACTGTTAGCCCGCTTCACACTGTGCATCTTTCCGTACAATAGAATGCACTGGTTCAGAGTGTCTGCTGACGAGTGCACGGCCTCCGCGAACATCGCACTAGAGCCTAATCATAATCAACATATATATTAGGTAAATATATTTAATCGTGTTATTGATTGTTTTTCCGTTTTTGCGACTACTTTGTCTGAGAAATACTCTTTTGCTCGGACGTGTCCAAGTAAGACCACAAAACAATCTTTTAGCTTGGAGAGCCGCAATTTTGCTCAAAATTTCTTGGTACATTCTATTTGCAGCTACATTATAAGTTTAGCTAAAGAAGCTGCTTCTGTGTTTGGGACCTACAAACTTCACACAAAGGCAAAGCTGAGCTTCGCACTACTTGCGATACAAATTTTATTAAAATCAAACAGAAAATTTTGAAGAAAAAAAAATCAAAAAATAGTTTTTGTCAATAAAAAATTGCCAAGAAAAATGGGTCTCAAGCAGTTAAGTCACCTCTACACCAGATGGTTGATTGAATTTGAATTTATAATTACATTGTGGTAACAAAGACGAAAATAGCTGAGCAAAACTTTTAAAGCCGAAAAAAAATTCTAAACTAATAAAAAAATTTCTTCCCTTTCTTCTCAGAGCACACGCAGGCACACAAACTTTTTTTGATCCCCGAACGACGCAATAGACGCTACTAGGTCGATATAAATTAAGCCGAACCTTAACAACCCGATATAAAAGACAAAATGAAAAAAAAAGACATTTTGACAAATCGACTTGGTAAAATTATAACCAGTTTTAAATACGAATTTCGATTCGGCCGGATTTTTAAAATGCTGAAACATTTTAAGCAACTACAGTGAAAATGGTTTACAGCAAATAAAACAATTCTTAGATCTGGCAACTAAGCCGACAAAACATAAGCAGACAAATACTAGGCGAATTTATTTTTGAACTGGCATACTAACCGTTTAGAAAAAACAGATCCTAGTCAGATTCGAACCCCCGACCTTGACCGTCCAAGGCGTAATTGTTACCTCCAGGCTATCTTGAGTCCAGATTAGTTCTGTGGACAAAGTTGTTAACGGAGGAAAAAGTCTAGTACCCGATTGCAATACCCTTGCTTATCGCAAGGGTAAAGAACTACTTCCAATAATAAGCTATGAATGTAAAAAATACCTGTGTATGCGCATGCCACGAACTTTCCGAATGCGTTGATGGAGTTGACCATGACTGCCACTTTGACCACCCACAGACTCTTGTGGGCTATGGAACTGTCCACCCGGTTACCACTCTACACGAAAAACACATCTACTTGACATAATTCTCAGACTTCTCCGTTAATAAGAACAACTAACACTCTGCCCAATATATATCATCTGGCACCCAAGAACATTAAAAGACACCTCTAACTATACGGTATGATTTTAAATTTAGTTAATAACGTCCTTTTCTAGGTTGGAGCACGAAATGCAAGTCCCATTTTAAGACAAAAGGCCACAGCTTTGAATAGCAACAAGGTATTTACTTGGGTTCCTTTAACACCATCAGCACCTGTACTCTCTCCTTCTGACAGGACATCTGGGGACTGTGGAAGTCTCTTGCGCACTTGTGCGTAGATATACTTAAGCTGCTTCAACTTGTCCTCCTGTAAGACCCTATTCGCCTCCAGCTTCCCAATGGTCTCCAAGGACCCATGTACTTGCAGTGCCTTCTTTTCCACGTCACGGATGTTGTACACCTTAGATACACACTAGTTTTTTATTAACCCCCGGCCGAGCTCCGACCTTTCAACAAGGACCTTTTATTCCATGGTAGAGAGAGAGAGAGATGTCATCCATTTTAACGCAGCCGGTCCCTCATTTAGGAGGCGGATGACGCTGGGACCCCTCCAACCATGACCGAAGCGGGATTCAAACCCACGACCTTTAAAGAACGCGCGTCTTACCAACTCAGCCACAGCTGCGCGATACACACTAATCATATAATAATCCAACCCTTTCTCTCAAAAACTTAGCCAACTTTAACTTCAGATAAAGTAACTTTAACTTCAGATAAAGAAAAATCAGATAAGTAACTTTAAATTATAGAAAATGACATAGACAATAGACTGTCAATGAACAAAAAAAAAACAGGAAAATGGTTTATCAATCACATTTTTAGTTATAAAAAATCATTAATCTTCAAATCATATCACGGTAGAGCTTTTCAACATCAAGAATTTTTCGTAATTGGCATTTTTTCTTGTAAAACTATCCCAGTTTACGTTTGTCTCGAATGCGGTTCAATTTGAAGGAAGATGCTTAGTAAGACAAACTTGAAAATCTTGAAAAACTTATCCAGCAATAACTAAGAAAAGAATACTGTTGAGCCAAAAAATGAGCCATAAAAAATTGTTGAAACTCATAAGGGAGTTTCAAATTTTTTCATAGTTCATTTTTTTTGGCTCAACAGTTTTGTTACTGATGGATATATCTCAGTTTTTGATTAGAGCAGATATGCTAAGGGCTGTCCCGAATGATTAAAGTGATTCATTCAAACTAGTTGTAAACCTGAAAAAAGTCTAAGCTCCGATTTGATAACGCTTGCTAATCGCAAGTATAAAGTTACTTTTAAAATTCAGGTCCATTGATGAAACTATAAGTGATTTACGTTTCTTCGCGTCGTTTTCACACATCAAATTCAGCGTGAAAAATGTCGATACAAAATAGAAAACCACAACACCAAATAGTATCACACACACACAAGTGGACACACACACACACCTTATACTCAAGTATGTATACGCTTGCACACCTCTTTTTTGCTGAATTAATTGAACAAAAAGGCGAAGCGGAGCTTCACAAAATGTGCAATTAAACACAACAAACGTACCATGGTTAACTAACCGACAAACCATTATACAAATACGCTAATTCGAAAAAAAAAAAACGAAAAACAGCAAGAATGCTCCCCTTTTTATAGCTCCCTTCTCAAACCACGAATAAAAACTATTTGTCGCTCATCAAATGACGCAAAATAAGGTCACTAAGCCGATATCAAATAAACCAAAACCTTTCAAGCCAAATGCATAAACAAAAGAAAAATGAACCAAAAGTGAAATTTTACACAGAGGCGAAGTTGCAGGTCGCGAACAAAAAAGAAAGCGTCAAAAAATAGCTCCAAAAAAGAAATAAAAATTAAGTCAAAAAGAAGCTCTGAATTTTTTTTTTAAAAGCTTAACATCTGCCGGCATCGAGGCTCTGAACTGAGAATCTCACGATCTCGCATTAGCGCTTTGTAGTCTTCAATTGACAAGTCCAAAAGACTACGAGTACCTTCATAACAGTGTCGGAGGAGATTGCACTTCTGCGCAGACAGAGTGGCAGCTCCTCGAGATGAGTCTCGTCTAGGTGGTAAATGCGCATAGCCCTGATGGGGGTGATGTAGTTACGGTCTGTCTTCGCCACGTCATAGTCAAACTTCTTAGCTCCCCGTTTCAACTACATAGTAAATAGTGTTATGTAATCTGAACAAGGTCATAGTTATTGAAGATCATCAGTTCGAACAATCCATGACCTGTCCATAGACCGTTCTTTGTGATTTTGAGCCATCATATTTCTGATATGCAGATTTTTTTTTATTAAAAGCGTTGATCGAATCGCTGGAACATGATGGTGGTTAGAAATCGAGTCTTTTTAGCAATTTGATTAAGAAGATCCGTGAAATGTATGGTAGAAACTCTGCCGGCAAAATATTTACACCATGAAAATGAGATTGATCAGTTGTACAACCGCAATTAGAAATTTTGTAAGGATAGTAATGAGATCTCATCGTTTCACTTTAATCGCATCGATTTCCAGACTTTGGCCAATTGACAACTCACCTTTATTTTCACGTGGGTCGTACCAGCCTCATTAGGTTTTGCAGACAGTGCCGCTTTTTGATGTCGATTACTCAAATAGTTATTAGAAAACACAGCAACATAATTTTCTCGTCCAGCAGCATTTCGTTTCAAGCGCACATTACTGCAAAATCGCGAATAAAAATTCATCACTCAAATTTCATGTCCAGACAACACATACGTCTGGAACCTGAGATAGTCAGCATGCATAACTCACAACATTTATATCTAAAAAAATTCTTTCAATTCAATTTAGCCATGTTAGTCCTTGTTCTTCGACTTCGAGTATTTAATTCCAAAAACCGTTGAACTAAAGTGTTACACAGCTTGAGTTTTATACATTGAGAAACATCAGAGAATTCATGAAAACTCTGCACTAACAGGCTACTGATTGAAAACTAATGCGCTAACAATGATTTTGTTGGGAAAGCAAGCAACGTGGGTTTTGCTGGGGGATATTCGTTTCTTCATAAAGTTTATTCGAATTCTGATACAAATGTTGAGCGGTGGTTCTAATTTTTTTCTACTGTTTCTACCAGTAGCGTGCCGAGGGAGGGGGGGGGGGGGCGATTGCCCCCTCCTCTCAATTTAGGTAGCCAAATTTTCCCAAAGAGTCCCCCCTTAGAAAAACTTCTGCGCATGCCACTGGTTTCTATACAAAACATACTTTTTTCACGGTGAACCTACTCAATTTTTTGAAACGTTAATTACAGCGTTTTTTCGGATAAAACAGTACCTAATTTGAGAAATCTGGATCCAGTTTTTTTTGAATTCCGCTGCAAAAATTAAATTTGAATCCGCTCAAGAAGCTAAAGGTTGAACTAGATTTTTTGCGCAATTTACATTTTTGTTATTGAAAAGCATTATTTGTCTTCCATTTGATAGACACATTTGAAAGTGAGCTTTAAAATTAATCGAAAATCAAACAACCAAATAAAACGCGTCAGAAAATCAAATTTACGGACGAAAGATAGTTTTACAACGTCAGAGCGGCCTTTTTCGGATAAATTATGAGGAGCTGTTTCCAAGATTTCACTTGAAGATGCAAAAGGTAACCTTGCATGGGCGGATCTAGGATTTTCTCGAGGGGGAGGCGGATTAGTATTTATTGGTGCCTTTAGAAAGATTTTAGAGTCGGTTGGCCAAAAATGGATTTCTTAAAAAGTACCAAAGGGGGATCCTTTGGGTAGACAGGGGGTCGAATCCCTGAGGGGGGACGTCCTCCCCCCCCCCCCCTAAATCCGCCCCTGTATCATTGTACTCAAAAGGGTGTGCTGATTACCTGGAAAACTGGGAAATATAAATTAGGTTTTTTGCGAATTAGTTTTATAGGGTTAATTCGCTCAGAAATTACCACCGGTACCTTATTTGAAAATTTACCGCCCACAATTTATTTGCTATTTCAATGTGCTTGACAAAAATCTGCTGACATAAAAAGGCAAAAACAATCAATTTAACAGTCAAACCAAAAAAAAAATATTTCACGACAATTGTAATTTAGAACTAAGATACTTCAATAATTCAAAATGCATTCAAACCACTTTCCAAATAAAACATAGAGGCAAGGCTCAGCATCGCATCAAATGCCCTGTCTATCGAAAACTTATCTATAGAAATTTTCCTGTATATCTTAATTTGTCTTGAATAAACCTCATGTTGAATTAGCATCGGAGGGTATGCTGAGTAGGGTTAGTAAAGCCGACAAAACTTGAGCAGCAGTTTGGTCAAAAAAAATATTGGCATAAAAAAACTTCATAAAGAATTGTCATAAAAAACTTCATGAAATTCAAAATTATAAGTCCCACAAACATATGCAAATGAAGCCTATAATTTAAAAGCTGGAACCTTTCGCAGAGAATAAAACAAAAAAATAACTCACAACCAACATGAAAAACAAATTTGCAACAGAAAATTTGGCATTCATGATGCATATAGGCTCAAAAATTGTGCTATAGACAAGAATACAGAGATGGTGAAATGATTTGAATTAATATGTTAACCTGAATTGCAAGCGCAGGCATGAACAGATCGAAAGCATACAATCTTCGCACAATTTAAAATTTTGAAACATATTCGCATTATTTGAAACAAAATAACTATCACAATGTTCTTCAATCAAAAACGATACAGGAGAAACCAAACTCAATTATTTGAAAAAATCAACTTTTCAAAATCGATTTTTGACCAATTTCATATATCAGTTGCAAAAGACCAAAAGCATTTGAAAAAAAGCATACGCAATAAAAATCCTAGGATAAAGAAAACTTTTTTCGGCAATTATGAAAAAAAAAATGGAGAAACTTGCCCTCATGACTAATTTATCAGTTCTGCGCGCACTTTTCAAATCTAGATTTACAACCAAAAAAATTCAGAAGAAATAATCTAGTGTTGTAAAAACTATTACTAAACAAAGAGAGCGCTGAGTAAACAAACACTTTTTTCTTTATCCAGAATTCCAAAGATAATTGAGTTTGGTGAGAAAATAATTGGTAGCATTAGTTCGGAGTAAAAATAAAAACGAAGACGACATAAGCTGGGTACACATCTACGAAGTCGAAAAACATTTGTACTTCAAAATTGTGGGCCAAAGAGAACTTGATAACTCGCCCGAAAGCATACAACTATTTACTTGAGTGCAGCTAGCATTAGAAGCTAATTAAAAGTAAAAGAAGACGACATAAGCGACTAGCGTGTACCGCACCTCCGGTGCTTCGAATTTTCAACAACTCAAAAAAACTATTCTTTGAGTGTACTCTGACAGCACCCAATTACAGGGTTCGTAATTTGAAGACTAGCGTGTACCGCACCTCCGGTGCTTCGAATTTTCAACAACTCAAAAAAAACTATTCTTTGAGTGTACTCTGACAGCACCCAATTACAGGGTTCGTAATTTAAAATTTTGCAAAGTTTTTATTCAAGTTTTTTATATAAATTTTGAAGAACCAAATTTTGAAGTTCTTCGAAAAATTTGAAATGAACTAAGAAACGTCACATCTGTTTATAATGAATTCAGAAACGTTACATGTGGGAAACTGAAAGCAATTGAGCAGTCGCATTTGGACGTAAGACTTGCAACTCCTGAGAGTACCCTTACAGTACCCATCTACAACGTTGGGAAATTCAAATTTTGAGAAACTTCACCTTAAGTTTTCTGAAAAATGTATTTTTTGAAAATCAGAACAAATTCACATTTCGAAAACTACCAAAATTTGAGCAGTCTTTCTTGATGGCAATATTCGCAACCTATGAAAGTACACAACTACAGGGTTGGGAATTTCATTTTAAAATTTTTTTTTTGTAATTTGAGTTTTCTGAAAATTTCCGAAAAAATCACAAAATCGTCGTATCTCTTAAACAAAAATGATTTGGGCATTCTTAAATGGAGACCGAATTTGAGATTACACTAACAGCCCCCCAACTACAGGTTAGGAATTTCAAAGTTTGAAAAAAATATTAATTTAAATTTCATAAATTTTTTTTTGAAAAAATCACAAAAACCGTCACATCTGGAAAACTGCAAGACTTTGAGCAGTCCTATTCAGAGGCACGTTTCGCAACCCCCTGAGAGTACCCTCAAAGATTCCAATAACAGGATTGATATCTTCAAAGTTTTGGAATTTTTTAACATATCTCGAAAACTACAAGGATTTGAGCAGTCATATTGGGAGGCAAAATTCGCAACTCCTGAGAGTACCCTGAAAGAGCCTCACTACAGAGATATGGTAATTTCAAGTTTTGTGAAATTTTTTATATCTAAGATTTCTGAAAAAATCCAAAAAAACGTCATATCTCGAATACTCACAGAATTTGAGCAGTCATATTCAGAGGCAAGATTCGCAAGCCCCTGAGATTACTCTCACAGATTCCACTAACAGGATTGATATCTTCAAACTTTTCGAATTTTTTAACATTTAAGTTTTTTGAAAATTTCGGAGAAAATCATGAAAAACGTCATATCTCGAAAATTACAAACATTTGAGCAGTCAAATTTGGCGGAAAAACTCGCAATTCCTGAGAGTACTCTGACAGAGCCTCACTACAGAGATATGGTAATTTCAAGTTTTGTGAAGATTTTTATATCTAAGTTTTCTGAAAAAAATTTGAAAAAATCCAAAAAAAACGTCATATCTCGAAAACTACAAAGATTTGAGCAGCCATAATCAAAGGCAAGATTCGCAACCCCTGAGAGTACACTCAGAAGGTCCAACAACAGGATTGAGATCTCCAAAGTTTAGGGAATGTTTTAAAATCTAAGTTTTTGAAAATTTTTTGAAAAAATCATTAAAAAAACATCATATCTCGAAAACTACAAGAAATTGAGAAGTGAGAATTGGAGTCAAGATTCGCAACCCCTAGGAGTACCCTGACAGCACCCAACTACAACCTCAAAAATTGCCTATATCGTTTAACTAAAAGGATTTAGTTATTCATTTATGGAGGCCAGAATCGCAAAACTTGGGAAAACTCTGACAATATTCTACTATTGGGTTGCTATTTTCAAACTTGGAATAAACACTGAATTTAAACTGGAAAATCGGAAAAAACCTTAACCATTGAGATATAAGATATAGCTTAAACGTGAAAAAATTCATTTGTTAAACATGCAATAAAAATACGTTGAAAAAGCTTAAACATGGCGAGATAATGAAGCCCGCATTTTAATATAAAATAGATAATACATAGATAATAGATGAAAATTAAAAAATTAGGCGACGGGTAGATATAGATAGATAGATAGATGTTATCACAGTAACTAGGCTTGAAAATGCTGCGGGTGATTTCTTTCGTCAACAGATCTGCATTTCCATTTTAACGAATTATCATAATGTTATTGAAACTTTAAAAGCAGGCGGGACTACAATTCTCCCTTCAGACAGTTTTCGAAGCGAAAATATTGTATCGGGAAGTGATAATGACAGATGACAGCTAAATACACATTATTAAAGTAGAAAAGTAAAAACGCTCAGATGTATTTGCTATTGTTGAATGTTAACATACCAGTAAATGGGAAACTTCTTAACTTCATGACAACCTTAAACGAGCTAGTGGTACCAGTGACAGTTACTGACAATGTAATTTTGTTGAGAGATTCCATTGATTATGCCAACAAAAACAACTCTGAAATTGAAAGAGCTAAACTGAACCGTTGGAATTTAATTTAATCCAGCAGGTCTATGGACCAACACATGAAAAACGAAAAACTTCAGACCTGGTGATCACAAACGAATGT